TTCGTGTGGATTAAGAAAAATGTTTATACAACGCAGGAAGAGAATAATGAAACTGAATTGTATTAAAAATTCTCGATATAAAACGCAGGTTGTTCGGAAAGAACGTATTTTTTTAAGTTGCATCTAAAACTGTATTTATCGTCAATTGAGATCACGATGATTTTATTTCATACAGACGTGCTTTACAAATATAATGTACTGACAGAAATCTTTCATAAAAAAATAGATGAGATTTTGACGCGTAAAAAAATACCGACTGCTTTCTTTCTATCTGACAACATGACATTTCGTCCAAAAATAGGTTTTTTATCTACGAAATTAAAATTAATTTTTTAAAAGGTCAGAATTTTTTAAAAAGTTGAAATTTAAAATTTTTATTCTGTATCTAATATTTCAGTAGTATGTGAGGGATTAAACATTCTCTCTCTCTCTCTCTCTCTCTCTCTCTCTTTCTCTCTCTCACTCACTCACTCAAAGCAGAAAATGTTATTCTATATATCAATTTTTTATATTCCATGCAGCTTCATTGCTTGTTATTATATGTGCTATTTTTATTAGAATAAAGTTTTTTCTAGCGTCTAATTTCAACAGTGCCACTTCATAAAATAGAATTTCCTGTCCGCGCCGCCGAAACGAATGTAAATGTTTCAAAAATATTATCGCATCTACGGGAAAGATTCTATCTCAACTGCGTAACGACGTTAAACGTTACATATTTGCCTATCAACCGTATTTACCATAGATACTCGGGGCGTATTTGTCCTACGGAATTAATAATATACCGTCCCTCCGACAGCGATAGAGAGCGTCACTTGCCGCTTTATCCGGCCCAAGTAATGGTACCTACCTACCTATTTCACGTGAAACACACGGCGTACTTTCGTGCGGATACACATCAGTGCTCCAACCACTGACATACTGCAATATCGCATGATCGTTTAGGCTTTGCCGGTGAGGTCCCGGTATCCATGATCGTGTCGACATGCAAAATGGAGACATGAGTTAATATTCAAAGCAACTCCGTCGAGCTGACCTCTTATCATGGACGCCCGAATATTTACTAGAGGCACTATAGGAATGTTGCCGATCTATAGGCATTGTTTATGCATTGCGTACCATCCCCGAACACGATTTACCACACAATCGCTGGCAAAAAAGTTGACTCGTAAACGAAGACGAGCGCAGAGCGATTTGAAATGCAGAAGTTTTTTTTCCAGTTTTTAAGCCTTCATTCGTCATTAATATAGAAAAACGCTAATAAACCGGATGTACATTATGTAAATTAATTTGCAGCTTAATCGTACATAACGCATTTCTCACTCCTCCCCGTTCATTTTCAAGAATTTCTAGACGAAATAATTATAGAATTTAAATTGCCGTTTAAATGATGACCCGAACGATGAGAATTTATTTCATATTTATGCATAAAATACATGTCAATAAGTAGGAAATAGCGGGAGAAAGAGAAAGAGGATGTTATTTATTAAGCGTTCCGGGATAAATCCCTTCAAGCGCAAAAATTTAGCAGAATATTACATGATAATCCAGCTCGTGCATGTACTGTATCAGCGCAATACAAATGTACTTTCATAACATCGTAACACGTTATAATATAACGTAAACTTGTACAATAAAATAACATATAATTTATGATGGATATATATAGAGATGGGAGAGAGAGAATTTGTTAGTAAGTCCCTTTTTTTTTACAAATGTCCATAGCTATTTTACACATATGCTGCTTATCATTCCAAAAAATTCGAGACGACGCCGTTGGCGTTAAAGCTCTGGAAATTACAACTCGAAACACGTGCATAAATCGGGATAACAACATTGAGTGACATTAAAGTTGCATGTTTGTATCTTAAAAACGCGCGGTGAAAAAATATGCTCGCTATTGGGAACGTTAATGGTTGTTACACACGGGATTCGGGATGACAGAATTTCCATCCGCGCTGAAACGGAAGTAAAAGTTTCACCGCGTTTCCACCGTGAAAAAGCGCTATCGGGGGAAATGGTGGTCCGGCCCCGCGCGTTCGGCTGATTACTACTGGCAGCTTAAAAGCGATGATACATGCAAACGTAAATCAAACGGTGAAGTATTTTCAATGCACGGGTCCCCAATTCGGTCGCGTTAAGTCGCGTCGAATAACGGGTAGGAAAATCTCTCACGATATTTACTTCCATTTTGTCGCCGACGCGATAAACCGTTTAAAAGTTTTTGAATCGCGGCAAATTTACGCGCAAATCGGGTGCACGTTCCGTATAAACAAACGTTGGATTTGCACTTTAGCGTTTAGAGGGTAAATCTGTGTTTTTTACTCAACGAGTGAGCTGAAACGTGAAATTTGTCCGCTAATATGTTGTTTTCCCAATTATTACAGAGACTTTTGTTTGATTGTGCTTTTATTCAAAACGGAAATGAAAGATACAATAAAACAACAGGTCTTTCTCTTTCTCCCTCAGTGTAAATTATTTAATTTTATATATTTTTTTAATTGCGTTCAAAATTATTTTTAGATACTACGAGAATTTAACATTATTGTTGACAATTATATTTTTAGAAAGTTTAACAACAAACTGAAAATTCGTTAATTCAACAAGCAGACATATAATTTTTTTTATGCCAAAATAAATTTGGTTGAAATTTTTGTTAGATACAGTAGATATTTCAAAATATATATTTTATAAATTTCTTTAGAAATATTTCGATTAAAATGCTATTTGTAAGTTAACAATCTATTAAACGATTAAACGATTGTTAGCTCTAATAAATACACAAGTCAATCAGTATTTTAAAAAATGAAACAACTCTTCCTCTAATTTAATGTACTCATACCCATTATCTTTCCACGATAAGAATTCACGCCGATATTTTCCACCATCGCTTCACCGCGTAAAAATAACGCCCGTCACGACCGCGGATCGATATAGCTAGCGAAATAAAAATACGAGCAATTTTCAAAATTACCAATAACACTTTCGTGCAAAAAGTTCATGCACACCGTTGACATACTTTGAAAACGCGACTGACGTATCCGCCTGTATCAATTGGATCGCTGATAGTATGATTAGTTCCACCAATATGTGCAGCCATTACACTTTTCGCGGAACAAGAATTCAACCCGTGACATTTCATTGTCTGCAGCCTGTTATACATTTGCACGTGGCACGCATTACGTTAAAAGCGATCAAATTGTACCTGTATTATCGAAACTAAAAATCGTTCTTAACTTTCAAAATGAATTTTCAAACTGTGCTCCTTTATGGAAAGACTTGAAACTTTTTAAACTTGTGTTAATTAAGCATCTTTCGCTTAATTTAGTGACTAAGCTCATACGACCTTTATAAGCCCTTTACTTAATATCTTATACCGAAAATCAATTATACAAGACACCAAAATATTTCTTTTTCGTACGATAATTATTTATATCGTACGGAAAAAAATATCTTTCTCTCCTCGTCTTTGTATTAATTTTGTATGCTTGGGTAATATAGCGATTGATTGACGTAGTACAAGAACAGCGACGGCACATGTGTGCATCAATAATATAAAAAGATAAAAATATAAGAACAAATACATTTTTCGGATATCGATGAGGATTTGCGTCTTCGATACCTGAATCGAGTTAGAATCCGCACGTATCGCTCATGGCTTTTTTAAGTACACTTCTCGAATAAGTTTTATGCGTATTCTTCGTTTTTTTCGTCGAGCATGATTTCCTTCGCATTATTTGTTTCCTTGTAATTCGTATTCCTGTTGCCTTTAGTTGAACTAGCCGCGTTGCTCGAGTTCTTGTGTTACTTGCATTCCCGGAGTATTGTATTCTCGAGAATAGAGATAGTTTCGATTCTTGGTGTTGGCAAGTATCGAAGGAGTATAAATGAACGAGAGAAGATACAAGAGGATTATATTTATGCACGTAAAACCACGGAAGCTGAATATAGAAATAAAATTTGTATACGACAAGATTAATATTCATTGATATATCAAAGTGATTAATGTTACTTAAAGCTTCTGTTACATCATGATTTTAAATTATTTTGGATTTACAATTGAATCTATATTTCAATTCTGAAATTCTATCCGCTTGTGCATAATATCGAAAATTATCAAAATATAATAATAATAATTACGCTATAAAAAGTTAATAATGTTAAAGCTGTAAAAATGAACGGCTTAAAATATTCATTAAATTTTTAAATCAGATTGATGGGATTTTAAATATTTACAAGGATAAAATTATTTTTATTTATCCTTGCATAAATAAGTTTCGTCAAAATCGGTTCGCGATACAATGATACACTAGAATTTTGTTATGAATTAATCATACAATTAATCTATAAAATTAATTATATAATACAACTATAGTAACCTGTAATTTAGAAATTAGTTTAGAGAGATTTTAGGACACCAGGAATTCGTTTTTTCTAAGCTCTCTCATCGTTATATCACTGAAACTTTCCGCATATCGCCGGAAAGAAATCTCGAGGAGATCGGCTGCTGGCGGGGGGAGGGTCCGCCATATTCGTGATTGGATTGACAAGTACGTGGAGACGCGAGTAAATCTTTAAGCCCATCGCAACATCTCTAAGAGCACCGTAGATTTCGTGCCTTGATTCTGCACTCCTTGCACGCCCTGCCACAGTTTCTGTCCGTGACACACAGTGCCGTACGTCCTGGAGGATAAGGAGACAGAGGGACGAGAGAGAGAGAGAGAGAGAGAGAGGGTGGAGGGAAAGAGAAAGAGGGAGGAGAGAGAGGGGGGGTATCCCTTATCACACACACATGTATTATACGTGTACGTGCGTGTGCGTACGCGCTGCTGAACGAACGTGTGTCGACGTCCTCCCCCGTAGAGGGTGAGTGTGTGCGCGCGCGTCGGTGTGCGCCCCCGTGTGTGTATGCGCGTTCGTGGACCCTCTGCGCGCTTCCATCGTCCACAGAGGGGTGGATAGGAAGCGCGCATGCTCCTACGGCCGAGAATCTCCCCAGTCAGGGTAAATCTGCCACCGAAACAAGACGTGGTGCGTGCCGTCATGCTATATACAATGTCGCATACGCGTACGGTCGTCGTGACGAGTTCTTAAAATAGCGCGGGGTGACAGCTCGCGGGCCGGGTGGATCGGCGATGGAGAGTCGCGGCGGGTGGAGTTTCGTGCTGATCGTCGAAACGTAGCCGGTGTGCGCGGAGAGGAGCGGTGGGATCCGGAGAGGAAGACGGGAAAAGAAATATAAAAAAAGAAAAAGGGCACGAGACGCACGGTGGAACGATTTCGGGCGATGAACTGTTGATCGCGATCGTAAAAAAAAAGGGAGGAGGTTGTTGCGACGAGCGCGGATTTGACGGCGGAGGCAGTTATGCGGTGAACGGAGAACATTCCTGCGACCGGATCCCGCTGGCTGCGCGATCTCGAGCGATCTCGAGTAGAGCGACGAGGAAGGAAGACGGGTAGTGGCGTTCGGGAGTTACTTTTGAGTCGATTGGCGAGTCCGCGCGCGATCGATCGGCCGCGCCGGACGATCCGGCGGCGGCACGCAGTGTCGATCGCCGGTGCTTTGTCGCTGCGTCTGAAAGACTCGAGAGCAAAGAGAGAGAGAAACTTACGAAACGAGAGAAAGGGAAGTGTTCTCGAGACGACGCGTCTCGCTATGTGCCTCGCGGCTTCACCGCGATCTTCAATTCTCGGGACGTCGCCGACGCGGACCGCGCGCGTTCGCGCGACGGAGGCTGGGACCGCCCTATGAGGGGACTCCCCCGATTCGTCGCTGGAAAAATCGTCCGAAATCGTCGTGCGAGGACCGTGAATCGAGTCGAGTCGCTTGCCACGCAAACGGCTCTTTCAGCAGCCGGAAGATTTAAAAATCGTGTGGCGTGAAGGAGCGCGAAGACTGCAGTTGAAGAGACTCCGCGGAAGCGGAGCGGATGAGGAGAGGATATAGGTGGAAAGTTTTCCCGCACAGCACGCGGCACGCCGCGCCGCCCGTCGAAAGTTTCGTCATAATCATTTCCGCGAGCGCGTTATCGCCTACGTGGACGACTACAGGGGATAGACGACACACCGAAGTGTCGGTAAAATCGTGCGGCGCGCATATATATACGCGTCGTCTCTTAACGGGAAATCTGGTGCCACAGCACGCGACGTCGATCTTCGTCGGATAATGCATCCCCGTCAGCCTCCCGAGAGCTTCGGATTGAAATCTCAGATTAATCGCAACTAAGCCCGCCGACCTGTCTCGCTCCAGCCGCCGGATACGGCTGTGCGAGATTGTGCGTTAATAATCGGCATAAAAGACATCAGAAGACGAGAGAGAGAGAGAGAGTAGTCAATGTGATAAGACCCTCCCGGTGTCGTCTGGTGGGGTGTATGTCAGTGAGTGGGATGGTGGTGGTTGTAGCGATCTCGCTAAGGAGGATGTGAATCGTTTCAGTATCAAAGTGCAAACGTCTCCCGAAACAAGTCGCGGACATGGCTCTGAGATGGCAAGCGAGGCTCTCAATTGCTGCCATACTCTTCATGTGCACGGAAGGTAATTACTTTGCCGATCTCTAATCGTCCTGCATGATGACCGTGTCTGCGACCGAGAGAAAATAGGGATGGCGTGCACTCGCGACGCTTAAGCGGCCCCGTGTGGAGAAAACCATATGAAAAAGTACGCTCGAATTGCGACGAAGAAATGACGACAGATATCGTGTAATTGTTATTAATGTGTGCTCTTGTTCAACCGTCGAATTTTCTCGGCGCTTCCTCGGCAGGTCCGCGAACTCGCACCGCGAACGTAATTTAGTAACAAAAAGCCGTCATTATACGGCTAACAAAATTTTTTTCGCTGGTCTTCTGAAAGTTGTGAAATTTCTAAAGCTGCAATGATACATCTCTAATTTAAACAATTATTCAGACACATTATTCGCATTCTTGACCGTTCGTTGACTTTCTTGTAAAAGAAGAAATTTTACCATTTTGTTTTACAAACGATTTACTTGGAGACACTTGTCAACCATCATCACTAATTCATTTACAAAATCCATCTGCATTGTCAATATTGTCGTAGGAGAGAACGGCGAGAGAGACCGATGATAACTGAGAGATGAGAAATAGGCTTTTAGCATAAAGGGGCATATACACGCGGATACCTAACGCGAAGCAGCGAAGCGGCAGCTCTCATGACACAGATAAAATCTCATCTACTACCGTCCGCGATAATTAAGATTCAGTTTAATTACGTTAATTGCAACGCGACATTCGCCGCTCGAAGAGGAAGAGAGAGATTTACGATTGCTGTTCCGAGTCAAAGAGTGAGCGTGGTACGGGAAAGAAACGTCGAGATTTATGGCTCATGTTTGCGCTTCGTAAACGCGGAGGAAGTCGATTGTTTGCTGTTTGCTTGCGATATTCATACAATTCCTTCACCGCGTATGGTCGAAGTAAACTGAAAGAGGAAGATGATTTATAATTTGAGCTTTCAATTGCAGATGGGCGTGTGGAAATGAGGGAAATCGCGGGAAAAAACGAGCGTTACGTAACTCCTTTTTTTTCCTAAAATTACAAATACATTTTGTGAAACAGCCATGTGTAATGCATATATATTTAAATGAAACTAAATGAAAAAATATTTTCAATATGCGTGAAAGCGGCATTTCGATTTTGTAAATACCGTGCAAATTCTACTTTTTTCTTTCTAAAATAACAGATTTTTTTTGAGAAGCAATTATGTTTGTATATTTAACAGGGATTTAATGAAAAATCTTCTACGCGCAGAAACAGAATTTCTAATTTGCGATGTGTAAGAATTTCATGTAAAGGCGAGGTTACTTCAAATTTTTGCATTGTCGGTGATTAAACAAAATAAAAATTCACGATAAAAACGAGAATAATGTATAATAGATTTTAAAATAATTCTGATATTTAATTATGATTATCGAAGAAATGAGAAAAAAAAGATTATAAAGAATAAAAGACTCTAGTGGTTTTTTTTTAATTTTTAGATAGAAATTTTCAGTTTTCATAGATTAAAAGCTTTTTTTTAAATCTAGTATTTTCTCACAAAGCGAAAATCTTGTGTATTTTTAGAGCTTTATGTGCGCTTCAGTTGATAATAATTCATGTCTTTCATAATACACGACGCGCCATCTTATTATCTTCGTTTATATTACAAATCAACCATCTCTCTTCCTACCCTCGCAAAACGATTCATTAATCATTTTAATTAATCGGCGAAACGACGAGAGCTATTTACTTTTATTACTTCCGCCGCTTCATCTAGCAAGAGCACTAATTATCTTTTCTGTATTCAGCAATATATCGAATGTCAGAAACGTTACAACTATGCGACTTGACGTATAATTGTAAAAATGTCCATATTTTACGCGAAAGTTATCATTTGAAAACATGTTTTGCTTATATACGTACTTTTAATTATTTTATCGATTTATTGCAGATAGCACATGTATTTTCACACATGTGGAATTATATTATAAACTTCATAATATATAAAATGTTTGAACTAGTTTCAATTTTTTTATTATAAATGCGGTTATGTGTACGTGTAAACTCAATAAACAAATAATTAAATGTACTCTGTCCAATACGCACAAATTTTATCTTTTGCACTATTTAATTCAAAGCTATAATAGCGAACTATTAAAGCATCTCATTAAAGCGTTGAGTTTAATTAATGATACCTGCATCTATTCTCATTAGGCGATTATGTAACGGTATAAATCTAGATGTATGATTCTTCAGATATTTTCATAAATTTAAGCAGCATGTTCTCTTCAATCTTTACCTCATTTAGCGATTCTGTATTTTATTCTGACAAACTTGTTATCTTAAATTTTGCACTTAATCTCTTGTTATCATCATATTGTTATAAATTCTATCGAACTTTTTGATAAAAAACACAGAGACCTCTGTTACACAGAAATATAAAAAGAGATGCTGACTTTACAGAAATGTATGTTCTACCAGAAATCGGGTATATATGTGATATATGATAATTTTTAATTTACATTTATTTAAATAATTCTTCATTTTACTTATCAAGAGAATGATTAGCCGTATGAATTCGACGTTAACTACTTAGTTAACATGCCGCGCGACGTTTATCGCGCGTGCGAGAAATATCGGGGGATCACGTATTATATCCGACGTAACTGTAGCCCCGCCGACTTGTCGTGTGTGACGCGAGGGGGTTGGTCGTAGGGAATAAACGGAATGGTACTTGGCGACGTGAAAGGAGTTACTCAATTGAATCCACGGTATCGGGCGATAAAATGGTACAGCTAATGGAATTACCGGGGCGCGCTTGCATGCGTGCGACGCAAATTTATCGCATGCATTATTCATAACTCGGGGCCCCAAGTCGGCCAGTGCCGCGCGCCGATGGTGCTCGCGCTCGCAGCAAGTAAAGCGCTTCTCCTTCCGAATATATGTGCGTGCATCGATTTTGGTAGATGAGAGAGATGACGCGCGGTATCGATTGGCGATGTTACATATGGCTATGCATGGTAAAAAGTCAGGCAGGAGAGGCCTCCAGGCGGATTGGACTCGTTTGATTCATCGTCGTTGTAGTCATCGTCGTCGTCGTCCTCGTCGTCGTCGTCGTCGTCATCGTCGTCGTCGTTGTCGTCGTCCTCGTCGTAGTCGCAGTCGTGCCGTTATATTTCATAGCCTTGCTTCACACCTCGTTTGCGCCATTGTCGTTCTAGACGAACAACTTTCGCAATTTCATTCAGGACTGCGACAAGGACTTCGCGCGCGAACTTGGTCCAGGTAAATTAAACGCTTGTCTCCGCTCGCGCGATGCCTAACTCGGCGATCTTCAGCTGCCCAGGGGCCTCGGAAATTCAAGCAATTACCGTCGCTCCCGCGGGTGCGAGATAAAAAACGCCGCCGGTCGCCGGAGGGGCGCCGAAGCGGGGAGGGGAAGGAAGTAGGTTGAAATAAACCGTGGCGAGGGGGAGCGGGTGGAAAGAACGAAATGTTAACGGAGATTTAACGTGGCGGAGATTAAAAGTGGTATAATTTCGACGCCCCCCTCTCCTTTCCCCTCTTCTGATTTTCGATGGATGCGGCAGATATATGTTTCCACTGCGCGAATAAATACAGAAACCATTTTCATGTGTTTACTGTCCGTAGATAGTGCGTTCCGAAGCCGGAACAATGGTGCACCGATTTTGGAATATAGTACCTGGTTTGGGACAATAGTTGGTAAACTATACGTGTCTACGTGGCGTATTTTTGCTCCCCGTTTTCAAATTTATCGCACATTCGCAAATATTAACGTCAGCCATGACAGAAATAACAACGTTCTAGATACGCATCGTGTTTCATATCATCCATTATATGAATTCGTATTAGTATACGAATTTATTCGAATCGATTTTCTCGCAAAAATATCGCACACATATGCACGACGCTAATGGTTTACAGCGATAAAATATTTTCGATTTTTATATGTTTTCGATATGAATTTTTATAAATCAAATTGCATATATTTGTGTATAAATTATAAAATCTTACATTAGCAATTTCTTTTTACGTATATTTCCAAAGTGAATTTAGATGCCCTATAAATTTTATAATAAAATTTAAATTTCAGGATTCCAATCTTAATTTCGAAGTTACAAAAATATTTAATGGATTTTAAAAAATCGCACAAATTTTTGATTGATTAAAAAATTGGAATCTGGAATATATTAACCACAAAAATTCATAAAAAATATTGAGATTTGTTTTTACACTCTGTATATTTATTTTGCCATCGCGGCATCAAATCCGTCGTGCATGAAAGCTTAATAACTTTTCTATATAAAATGTTAAATCCGCTTTTTCGTTACATCTTGGAACTTTCTCTTTACGGGTTCTAAATGGGCTAAAACATGTTAATTGGCTAAGACACTGCGAGATAGTCATCATCTGCGAAGGTATTTCATGTTGGATCTCACGTTATTATAGGATCAAGTCAAGTTAATCTTCTGGAAACGCACCTGTGGTTTAATAGATTTACATCCGGAAAACATTTCAGATTTTCACATTTTCACGAAAGGTTTGGTGAAAGAAGGGTTCCATCCCGAGAGACTGTAGAATGCCATAAAAAGTATGCAAAAGCTTTTAAAAAACCTTACACGCGTCTTAATCGTTCAGACCGCAATATTTTAGTTAAAGAGAACGTTTTAAAAAGAAAAGTAATGAAAATTGTAAAAATTAAGTACTTGGATTTTTGTAAAGCTACGTCGACGTACTTGATATCATACTAAATGCATCTGTAAATTTTTATTTGTACTTAGAGCTTTGGAAAGTTTTGCACACAATTTTCTATTTATTTCTCCTGAGAGAGATATTAACATTTGACGTAAAAGAATAGTAATAGAAATCAGGCTTATGGCTTTCTATGCTCGGATATTCAGAACGATAACATTTCCTTCTTCATTGTTTGCGAAACTCTTGCGCAGATTCTGAACTTTCGTCGTTGTTAGCTAAATGCATACCAAGAGTCTCCACAAAAATGTTTGCATTATCATTTTCACA